AATGTCATTTTTCTTCGAGTTATGACGACAGCAGCTAGAATATTATCATCACAATTTCTTTCCATGCAAAAGATTTCCAACTGGCTCACAATGAAATTCCGAGAACAAAATTAGAAAAAAAAAAAAAAAATTGGAGACTTTCAATTTCACCTTCGTTTACCATTCTGACTTGGAATATTAAAACAATGACGGTCAAGAAATCAACATGTAAATTATCTGAAAATCGGTTTTCGCAATATATAATCGCAGAGGCAACGAATGCCTACAAAGGTATTTATATTTCTTCAGACATTTAGATATGCATCTGAATCTAAACACAATAAGTAATAAGCATTCTATACAAGCTGAAACAGAAAATATACTGGCTCATTCAGCTACTATTTTTTTAATTATATTCTCTGTTCAAGACATAGGCGAGTTGTTCTCCATAGACTTCTCCTGTCGAGTTTGTTATATTCATTTACGGAAAACTATGGATCTATTTTTCTCCCATGGCCTTCGGTTAAATTCTTGCACTTTTATCTTAAAATATCATTGTTATTTTCAAAAACAGTCGATGCAATATTAACTTGCAAATAAAAAATAATTCTCATAATCCCGTTACCTTTTCAAGTGAAAAGACTTACTGCTCTCACCTTGGTTTGAAACTCAATTACGACTGAACACTGAGTTCGATTCTTAATCACGGCCTTGTGCTACAACTAAGGTATGCTTACCAGTGGTGTAATGGTTAGCAAGCTTGTCCCGCTAGATCAGTTACTGAAATATGACTTCGATCCTCACTGTTTGCCTCACTACTTGGGTCTTCTACCACATCTAAGCTACGCTTAGAAAATCGCCATCGCCTGGATGTCAGCCAAAACAAGACAGTCAACTCTTCTTTCTATTTAACTCATTCGTCCTCATGTCTAGAATTAGCTCTTATTATTTCTGCATAACCCCAAAGAACTTCAACTCTTGCCCTTTTTACGATAATACAACTCCACACAGTAAACCTCTACCTTGAATGGCTCTCAGGCCTTGTATTGAATGAACATTAGTAAAAAAAAATTAAAGAGAAGTTAATCCGAAAGTGAACGGACTGAGGAGATTATTTATTCGTTTTGTTGAATTCATTTTCTATGCTGATAATCGTTATACAACCAACACACTGTGCGAATCGTATTTTACAACAGAATTACGCCAAGCATAGGTTTCATTTATAAAATAGTAAATAGTTGTAAAAAAATAATTTTGGAAACCTATTTTTAATAATATCGGCCAAGAATCCAGTTTGTCTCAAGCTATGTCGCTGATTATAGAAACGCAAAATATTCCAATAAGAAAAAAAAATCCTGTTATTTGATACATTCCGGGATACAGGAAAATGGACGGAGTTAAGTAAAAGCCCTTGCCGTTTTTTTATGTCATTTGGGAAGTGATCACAGATACGCAAATGAGTGCATCACGTTCAGGGAATAGGCGGTGGCGGTCTCATTGCTCTTGACCAACCCGTCACAGCTCGATAAACATGGCTATATCAAAGAAGTTCTCTCGGAACTGTCTATTCTATGAAATTAGGATGGGCTTGTCCGCAGTTTCATCATATCGATAAATACGTCAAGCATTGCTTACTGAAGTGGCCGGCCCCAGATTCTGGTTGAAGAGGTCGGTCATAGAGGACAAGCCCTGTGGTGAACTTGTCGAAAGCTCCCTGGTTTCTGATAAAACAGCCAGACTTCACCTGCGCCGTATAGGGAAGACGTATAAGTTGAGCAAGTGGGTACCCAACACAGTGTCAGAAACCAACACTCAACAACGTGCAACGATGTGATTATTGTTACTTTCTCGGCATTGAAACGTACCTATATTTGATCGAGTGATCATCAGTTAGGAAAAATGGGTCCTGAATGTTAGTCCCAAGACATTAATTGTCCCCACCAGATCCTGTTTTTCACAGCACAAGACTAGTTCTATGGCCACGCAAGATCATGCTCTGTATCTGGTGAAATAGTCAATAAGTGGTGCTACCAACACACCAAACCCTTAATGCGGACCTCTACTCGCAGTAGTTGGAACGTCTGCAACAGGCGCTAAAGCAAAAGTGATCGCTATTGGTTAATCGTAAGAGTGTATTTTTTCACCAAAACAATGCAAAGCTTTATGTATCTCTGTCGGCTTGAGATACCATATAGGAGACATTCTGCCATCCACCTTCCTCGCCAGACATTGCGACAACAGATTAGCAACTCTTTCAGTCCCTGCAAAAATAACCTTCGTGAGAAATTCTTCGCAAATGAGGCAGACTTAGGGAAGGTACTCACAGATTTATTTCCGTCCAAGAAACATGTTTTTTTGCCACCGGGTCATTGCGCATCTGCAGGCACGTTGGCAAAAGATTCTAGAAAGCCGATAGACATTACTTTGAGAAATAGCACGATGACAAATTTGTTTTATAACTTTTTTCGAATAAATAAAAAACGACACGGACATTTTGGTTGCTTTACCATTATTTTAATCGAAATGTTATTAGTTTTCTCCATAATATATATTTTCAAACATGGATGTTTAAAAGGATTTTAAAAAAAGAATTTAAAAAAACTTTGTAGATAGCTTGAAGGGGAAAATAAGTACTTGAAATTATAACTATACGTTGACCTAAAAGTAGATAAGGGCCTTAAATAATTCTCGTCTTGAGATAAATCTAAATTAAAGTTATATTGAAACAATTACTTTCATCAGCGCTCGGATTGGAAATTCAGCCGGTCTAGAGGAATGGAACAAGATTTTACAGGAATTCAGAAATTACGAAATTTCCTTGGCAACATTCTCTTGGTAAAGTAAATATTTTAAGGCGTCAAATTTTGTCTAAAAATACAGTGTTCTTACAAATGCGTGAACCCTGCCACAGAGATGACAATTGTTATCGTGAGAAAAATTAAAACAGACGTATTAAATGTACATTCAAACACAATTTTTTAAACAAAACTTAACAAATAATGAACACAAATATAAAAAAAAAGAAAATTAGTTATTTCTTGAAATTTAAGCGTGCTACTAGACTGGCATCACGGTCCCATTTTCACTGTCGAAACGATTAAATGTGTCCGCCTCTTCTACTTCAATGGCTTCATATCTCGCACCTCACATCTGTGGAATTCTTGTTTCCCGGATAGCTATAATCTCCAACTATTCAAATGTAATGTCAATCGACATCTCCAGATGCCCTGAACTATTCCCTGTCATTCTCTTCATCATTTCCTCCATCACACCTCTTTACTCTCGCCCCAACTCTGTAACCCCTTGCTTCCTAATGGCATCCCGTCTTGCTTGGCGTGAAATGATTAAAAAATATTAAAAATACATCCATTTCTTTTATTGTGTCCATTATTAGGAACATTTTCTTTTCAAATTTGTATTTTTTTGAGTATCGCTTCTGGCTGATGGTCGTCACTGGTCCGGATATTACACAATCATCTTGAGAGCTCCTCCCACAATACGGATATCTGACAGTAGCCTCCCCACGAAGGTGGGTTGCGACACAAGGTCAGAGTTTAACGTGGGGAACCCGAGAGCTAATGCTCAGGTCTCTGGTCAAATGTTGCTTAGACACCGCGTGAGCGCTGTTAGGTTAAAACTGATCTTGGCTTGTCAATTCACGTTAAGCGCGGTATTAGTACGTAGTCTTCCACTGAGGCACGATGAGGCACAAGGTCAGACTTTAACGTGGGGAAATCGAAAGCGAATATTCAGGCCACTGGTCAAATTTTGCCTAGACACGCGCCAGAGCTGCGTCAGGTCAAAACTGGTTTTAACTTGTCATTTCGGTGGGGAGTAACTCAAATTCGGGTGCGGTCATTTCCCGTAGTCCCCTCCCACCCCCCCTAGGCGGAATGCGAAACAATGTAAGGGTTTAATGTGAGGAACTCGAGCGCGGACACTCAGGGTCCTGTTCAAAATTTGACTAGACCCGCGTGAGTAGAGTCAGGCCAAAACTGGTTTCAGCTTGTCATTGGGTGGGGACAAATAATCACACCCGTGGCCGGTATTTCACTACAGCCTCCCCACTGAAGCAAGATGTGTCACAAGGATCCGGGGACGCTCAGGCCACTGGTCAAAATTTGTCTAGATTAGTTTGACATTTTGAGAGTACACAATGGTATGCCGTACGCTTTATTTGCACATAGCCTGCCCACTAAGGCAGGATGAGTCACAATGTCAGGGTTTAATGTGGGGAACCCACGCACAGAAAGCTCAGGCCACCAGTCGAAATTTGCCTAAACCACACGCGTTTGGTCTCAGGGCAAAACTTGTCTTAGCTTATCATTTCGGGAGGGTAAAATGTCCTCCCGAACGGCTGTTAACTGTAACCAAGGCGGGATGCGACAGAAGGTCAGAGTTTAATGTGAGTAACCCGAGCGAGTACGAACAAGCCACAGGTAGGCAAAAACAGGCCTTAGCTTCTTTTTACGCGGGCGGGAACAAAATTAAACCCCGAGCATCATATTTGACCTTAGCCTCCACATTGATGCGGGATGCGACATATGTTCATGGTTTAACGTTGAGAATCCGAGCGCAGACTGTCAGGCCACTGGTCAAATTTGTCTCGACACCGCGCGAGCGACGTCCGGCTAAAACTAGTCTTAGCATTTCAGTCAACTGGTCAAAATTTACCTAGTCCCCGCGCGATGGGAGTAAGGCCAAAACTGGTCTTAGGTTGTCATTTCGGTTTCGGAAGTCTTCCCCGAGTCCGTTATCCTGAATTCAGCGGACTGATTTCGGGACATAGGACAGTTCCAACAGCGCCGAGATTTGACTCTACTTGTGGTTACAATTAGTCATGAAAATAACTCTAAGTTATAAAGTATAATGTAATTGGTCATAATAAAACTACGAACAGTCGTAAAATGTCTCCAAAATGACGTACGGAATTAATAAACTCGAACTAACTGTTCAAGCTTAAATTGAAAGAGTCCGTTTGCTGCAACAAAAATAAAATGAAGAGCATGTCGCAAGCTAACCCCGTAGATAGATAGATAGATAGATAGATAGATAGATAGATAGATGCATGCGAAGAAATAAAAATGAAAGAAGTGACATTGATATAAAAACATTTATCGAAGATGACAAGGGACATTATTTTCTTTGTTTCTATTTTCCTATTCTTGGGAACGTCTCCCAGTTTTGGCTATAAAGAAACATGGGACTCCAATGAAGAATACAACATTGCCTTTTCAATGACGTTGCTGAGTAACAAATTTCTTAATCCACGAAGGAAAAAAACAAAACAAAATAAAATTAAATATGGGACCAAAACAAAAGCTGAAATAGAAAAACCAAAGCTGAAACACCAATCCTTTAACGGAAGAAGAATATATATATATATATATATATATATATATATATATATATATATATATATATATATATATATATATATATATATATAGGTAGTTTTTGTGACAATATTTAGCCGAATGCATTTTCAATGTTTTTTTTCTTCCTATTCTTTTCACAGAGAAGGAATCCTTGGAATCAATATATTGTTGTCTAAACTGATATTTTCGATAAGTTTTCTTTTTCTTTTCCTTAAATCACCGCTCTTGAACGCTTTTCTCCCAAGAATATTTCCTTGTGGAGTCCTGTATATACTTTCTCTGATATCACATTAAATAGTTTGAGTGTCTGTTTGCGTAGAACATATTATAAAACAAGGCAAAGAAACGCAAGATGCCATTGATCCTTCAGAAAATATACAGAATAAATAAGACCGAATGTGAATGAAGATAAGAAAAATATTCTTCAGATTCATAACAGTTTCATGTTTTTGCTTTTGAAGAATATTTGTTGTTATTTCTTTATTTATTCACTGATTCTGATCCTAGACTTTTCTCCGGTGATGATGTTGATGATAAGAGATTAGTTCTATATCCCTAGATTGTTTCTTGATGTGATGATTTGATGATTAGTCGATGACGATTATCCTTCTCGTCCTTGATCAAGGTTTCATCGCGATTCTGTGAATTTTTCTCTGTGGCTGTTGACATCTATACGGGTACCTCACGCTGAGTGTACGATATCAAAATAGATGTACATGTATGGCTTTGTACAGATCAAATGAGAGCATAATTAAGCATGGAAAGGCCCATCAAAAAGTAAAATTATATTTGTTTTATTTTACTTTCAATTTTTACTATCTTTATAAAAAAATGCGTTGAATGAAAAAGAGAAGACAAATCAGTATTCATTACACGAAGTCAAAATCACACAATACTTAAGTCGTCTCCGAGAACGCCCCCATATGTTTTCACAGTGATTTCGGTTGAGGGTATAATAAGAGACAAGAAGCCGATACTCTAAGGTTTCCCACAGTTTCCATCCGAGTCGGAATAATTAGGCCTCATCCACTATGCAACGTAACTTCCATGAAAGTGACACTTCTTGGGTTAACGTTCTCCGTTGACATAAAGTGCAAAGATTATTATTGAATCCATTTCTACGTCAGCTACTAATAAAGTTTGTTCACTGTGTCGTAAATTTTTCACTCCAGAATCTATCTTACATATCTATAAATCTAACATTCATCCATGCTTAGTATACTGCTGTCACCGGTGTCCCAGCTATTTATCTAGTGATCCTTGATAAAATCCAAAGACTCGGCAATATTACTGGCCCTGATCTGACATCTCAGCTTCAATCACCGCCGTAAGATTGCCTCCCTGTATCTTTTCTATAATAACTGTCAACGTAGTTGTTCAGATGAGATCTTCGCTATGGTACCTAGACCTTTTTTTTTTTTTTTTAAATTTAAGCTCAGTACTGGATTGGTGTCGAGATCTCATCAGTTTACAATTAAAATAAATTCTATGCTATTTTCTCGCACTTCTCGCTTGTGGAACTCCCTTCTGGTCCCATGCTTTCCAGCCAACGTTAATCTTCAAAAATGTGAATGCAATCGCTCCTTAATGTCCTCCAGCTTACTCTTTTTGTTCCCGCTCATCATTAATATTTCTATTTTAATTCGTCTACACCCAGTAACCCCTTGTGTCTTAATGGCTTTACTGCCTTGCATGGGGTGATGACAATTTAAAAAATGCCTTAACCGGTTTGGCTTCCAAGCGCTAAGCCTTACCACATGGCACCAGCAATTTGGTCCCAGGGCCCCATTCGATTTTATATTCAGAATGTCCTTTCATCTAGACTAACTGACAATCCCGACTAGTTCAGGCTGCACTGCTATTTAAGTCATAAATCGGAAAAAAGAAATGGATTTATATCGTTTCCAAAAGAGATTTGGACATAAGCGGATGTAACGAACTCGTCTGCAATTCGATCTCGTCCCTCTCTTTTCTCATTCCAAGCTGTTAATATTTACACCACCCGCACATTAAGACAAAACGATAACACTGTTGATGAAAGAATTGTTAAATAATGTATTCAAAATAAGCGCAAAGAAAGGACTACCTCTTAACTTTAAGGAGACACGATAGAAAATAACAAAAAATAACCCAAGATGGAATTACTTATTGGACTCTCAAAATCAAATAAAAAATTAAAAATGTGTATTCCCTAGTCTTTATATTTTAAATTATTTTACGAAAATGTTTTAACTGCTATGGGATAACACTTAGGTGTTAGTATTTTAATATAAAACCTGATTTTTTATTTCTTTTTGTATATGGCAGTCCATATAGCAAAGGCCAAGAGTTATGTTCTAGCACTGGTGATGGTTTGTGTTCTTATCATATTACTGCACGGAGAATTTTATAAAATAGGTATACATTCCAGAGCATGTATTTCCCTACACTATTTTTCCCTACACTATATTTGAATTCCTGTGTGACTAAGACAGAATACCCAGAAATTTGATGATTATGTTGCGTCAACATTTGTACAAACGCAACGTTTTATGTATTTCTTCTCCATTAAATATGTGCCAACTGGGATTGACAGGTTTTAATCAAAAGCTGAGATAAATCACCCAATTTTTTTTTCTCAACCACTGAGGGGTATTTTCCAATATCTGGCTCTTCTGCTCTTGGTGGTTATCGGACATACAATTAGTTTTCACATTTTGTTTTCAAGTGAGATAGAGACTAATTTGTTGATTTTTTATTAAAAGATTTTGACTTCTACTTTCGGTTGTTTATCAAGTTTTTTTTTTATCATTTTTGTATAATCATAAGTCTTATATGAGGTTTCTTGCTAGTCAGTCCTGGTTATGACGCTAAACTACATCCGGCATCACGTGTATGATCTGTAGATTGGCAGTTTTGAGGAGCCTGGAACCACCTTTAATTGCCGTTGTTCTCAGGACCACCCTAACCCGGGATGGAAGCACCTCTTAGGGTCCCAGTTATAATGAACCATGAAACAAAAACAAAACACTATGAAAATGTAAAAATACCTATTTGTTGTAAATTTCCTACTATTGTAGAGTGGGGGCTTGTATTTGCACTAAGTCGGTCCTAAAATAGGTTCGACGTACAAAACGTTAGGAACTTGATATAGTAGGTATAACGCAGAGTAATCTAGTTGTGGTCGCTGATACTTTAATATCCGACTAACAGTTGTCCGACATCGACTAACTGACCGACTCCTCCCTGAGCGACTGCTACTACTCCTCCTTATTATAGGTGGGAGAGTCTCTTAAGAATAGAATAGGTGTGTTCCACTATAACACCTACAACAGCTATTAGTACAAGAGGTTTTATTTACGAAAAAAAAATCTCGGCATTAAATGACCCAATGATTGATATACCGTAAAACAAACAAAAATATTCGTGTTAATGAAGAAGATTTGTTGTCATCGAATTATTCATGATATACCTAAGCATTCTGTACCACATTTCAAACGAATCTACAGACAGAATATAGCAATCACGCTTTCCCATTCGAGGCTAAGGGTTACTGATGATGAAGAGGTTATGATGACATGGGTATTCATAGTTGGGATAAGAATGTTCTTAAACAGAAAATCAACCATTCTCTAGAAAAGACGGACATTAATACACCATAAAGTCTGCTCTGGTCCTGGAATGAATTCAAATATGTCACACACACCGAATCCATCCTATACATTCAGAATATCGATATAATAAACACTTCAAATACCTCGGTGTATGGATTGGTTATAACAAATTTAGTATGTGTATAAGGCAATTGAACATAGAAAATACTGAGCCACAGGTAGTTTCCCTCATCACTGCCAATGTTTACAAAACCAAAACATTAACTTCGAAAACTCAAGTAATGTTTTCAAGTACCATCGTTAAACCGACTTTCATATGTATGGTGCCAATCCCGTTCTGAAATATTTAATCTGACAGATGTATAAAACTGCTTCCTCACATCAATGGTAAGATGGGTTCGAACGAGTGAAAACAGCGAGGAGCATCCTTCTTTGCACTTTAAGGACTGACGCTACAGAATCGCAAATAACTTTAACAAATAACAGAAATTAAAATTTAAACAGCTATAATGAATAGCACATGGAATTCGAGGAGAGAATAATAACATAATCAAACTGTTGACATTCTACACCACTTCAAACAAAATGCTAGGAAGGAAACCACAATCAATCCGAGAGCGCACGATACCATCTTCTTGATAAATGTTTGAAGAGAAATATTTCATAAAATTCGATGCCCGCTCAATGAATGACGTATGGTGATTTTCTAAGAGTAGCTGATATAAAGTACAAAGGGCAGACGCATGGGGCACCTAGTGCCGATCGAACTTACTACTCAGTCACAAATCTAGCAAAGCAAGCTTACTAACCATTAAACCCCGTCGAAATATCGAAATTGTCTCTATCTGACATATGCAATATCTTCGATGCGTGTCTGCTTTGTGGGGTACGTGTTATAAATGAAAAAGTGTGTTCAGGTTCTTCTTTCTATTTTTCGTATCTCGTCTAGATTCCAGTATTTTTATTATTATTTCATAATCAGTTCACCACAAGAAAGGTGAGATTGACACTAATAGATAAGGCTGTACTATCACTAAGAAGCAGGGCGATACTGACATTAAGAGGCCAGGTTCTACTGCCAATAAGAGACAAGACGATATTGGCAGTAAGACGCACGGCGATACTGCCT